TATATATATATATATTGATAGATAGGTCTGATTTGTGTCCCTCCTCAATGTCCTTCAGTGGGGGTCCATCCACTGGGCCCACTGAGAGTCCTAAGTTTGTAAGATAATGTTTTTCCCCCTCCCAGCAGCCATCAATTGCCAGAAGTTCCTTAGGTTGGGTTGGGATTTCTTATCTACTTCCCATGTCTGTGTTGGAATTTTTGTCTGGTTTGAGCTTGCATAGGACTTCTGCATGCTGTCACCACTGCTGTGAGTTTATATGAATAACTGACCAGCTCTCTGGAAGACTCTGTTTCCTTGTGGTCATCCATTCCCTCTGGCTCTTACAATTTTTCTACCTCCTCTTCCACAGTGATCCCTGAGCTTTGGAAGGCAGAGGTTTGAAATAGCTGTCCTATTCAGGGATAAGCACTCTGCGGTCTCTTGTTCTCTACACATTGGCCAATTGTGGGTTTCTGTGTTGATGACCAACTGCTGCATAAGGAAACTTCTCTAGTGAGAGTTAAGGATGCATTCATCCTAAGTGTAGAGGTTCATTGAAGATATGTCACTTAGGGTTAAGTATCTCTGTTTAAGCAGTTCTAGAATTCTGTAATAGTCTCCATCAGTTACAAAAAGAAACTTCTTTGATGAGGGGTGACAGGTACACTTGTCTCAGCTACTTAGGCTCTTTCAAGAAGCCTAAGCAGGACAGGGCCTTCTTTAGAACTTCATCATATCTATTCCTCCTTCCCCTTCCAACTCCTCCTATATCTTCCCCACATCCTCTCTCAAATGTATGTCTTCTTCCATAATAGTAATTATCATATATACATGTTTGAATATATATATATATATATATATATATATCCTACCAAGTTGCTAGGTGTTGCCCATAAGTACTTGGGTGTCGAGCTGATTACTTGGACAAGGAAGACCTATCAGGGGCCTTGTCCCTGGACAAAACTGACTGTCCCTCCAGCCATGGCAGTTGAGCCTGTAGATCTTCAATAGGATCTTGTGATCCCTTTCCCCATCCATGTTAGAGTGTTAACCACTATGGTCTTGTGCGGGTATCGTAGAGGCAGCCACAGTGTTGAGAGGTCATGGATGTAGCTTCCCTGTCATGTCCAGAAAACACATTTGCAGCAGTTGTCCCGGACCTCTGACTCTTATAATCTTTCTGGCTCCTTTTCTACCATGTTCCCTGAGCCTTGGGTATAGGGTTGTGTTACAAGTGTCCCATGGTTTTTTTATTTTGTTTTGTTTTTTAGTATCTTATCATGTGTCCCTGGCTGGCTTTGAACTTGCTATGTAGCCCAGACTGGCATAGAACTCTTGATCTTCTTACCTCAGCCTCATGAGTACTGGGATAACAGGTGTGTCCACCACATCCAGTGCTGGATCATTTCTACTGGCTATTAAATTCGATGTGTATATGTTTGTGTTCTGGGGTTCACTCTAAGACCCCCAGTGAGATATCAGGATGAGGCTTGGATGGCTAAGGAATTCATTCCAGTTCCTTTTGAACTCTGTGATAGGAGCAGAACGCTATGAAATATAGTACTTGAAGCAGAGCTTGGTGGCACACAGGTAGCCTGGGCTACCCAAGACCCTGTCTTAAATGGCAACAGAGATACAGGGCTTGAACAGTGGACTCCAACATTGGAGATTAAGTAAAAATAAAAGACGTGCTAACTGGCCATATCTTGCAAAGTAAGCATTATCAATAACCAGCGACCACCAGATAGATGAGAGGCGGTGGGTCACCAGGGAGTCCCTTTACAAATCACATGAGTTCTGAATCTATACAAAGACAGCTGTGTGGCTGCCCTGTCAGCTGAATACACTTGACTCAAATACCTTTTCTTTTTTTCCAGGATCTGGTTGGCCAAGTATGCTGCTACAGGGGGATGAGGCAGGTGCAGATGCTGCAGAAACCAGTGTGTACATGGCCATCAAGGTAAGAGACCTTTCTCAGGTGGCTTCTCCAAAAGCCAACTGTACATCAGAGAGAATCAGTAGGGCACCCTCAGCCCTGCTGGTTCTCTCTCTCTCTCTCTCTCTCTCTCTCTCTCTCTCTCTCCTTTCGGCAAACAGACATAGGATTTCCTGAGACCTAGGACTAGATCAGGAAAACTTTTTAAAATGCTTTTATTACTCAGAGCTCAGAGGTAGAGTACTACCCAGTGTTGAAAGTTAATTTTGAGAACAAAGTTCAAGTTTAGACTACACTGGACAGAGGGATGAATGCCCAAAGTGAAACAGGGTGGAATTAGATTTGCTCTCTGATAATGTCATTGTTTTGAGAACTGTTTTTTAATTTTATTTATTATTTTTGTTTTATGTGTATGAATATATTGCCTGCATGCATGTAAGTGCACCTATGTTATTCAGTTCCTGAGGAGGTCAGAAGAGGGCTTTGGAGTCCCCTGGAACTGGAGTTGCAGACAGTTGATAGCTGCTATGTGGGTTCTGGGAACCAAACCCAGGTCCTCTGAAAGAGCAGCCAGTACTCTTAACTGCTGAGACATCTATCTGGCCCAGAGAACTGGTCTTTGAGATGTGTCACTGACATAGCGGCCCTTGTGTATAGATGGAGAAAGCAATCAACAGAAAGATTGGAGTTGTTGGGTTTTTTAAATTTTACTTTATATGTATGAGTGTTTTGCTGCATGTATGTAAGTACACCCATGCGGTGCAAAGCCCTCGGAGAACAGAAGAGAGCATCGGATCCCCTGGAACTAGAGTTGTGGATGGTTGTTAGCTGCCATGTGGGTGCTGAGAATCAAATGTGGGTCCTCTGGAGGAGCAGTCAGTGCTCTTAACTGCTGAGCCGTCTGTCCAGCCCCTGGAATTGCTTTTTATAAAAGCAAATGACAGGGTAGAGGTGTGGCTTAGCAGTAGAGTGCTTATATGAGAGCCTGGATTTGATCCCCAGCACCACCATGTACACACACACACACACACACACATACTCACATATGTCAGTACTCTTAACCACTGAGCCATCTCTCCAGCCCCACACATTCACATATGTAAAGACACCAATGCATCCCTACAAACATTCTGCAGCTCCTCTGTTGATGCCAGCCCCTTCTCACTGTGAAATTTCTAAGTGGCTATAACTAAGGGAAATTCCTTTGTCTAGATCTCCTTTCAGCTGTGCATAGTGAGATATGTCTAATTCTAGCACATTGGAGGCTAAAGCAGGAGGATCACCAATGGTTTAAGTGCAGCCTGGGTTATATAGTGGGTTCCAAAACAGCCTGAGATACAGAGTAAGACTCTGAAAACACAGACACAGACAGACAGACAGAGACAGACAGACAGACAGACAGACACACACACACACACACACACACATACACACACTTAAATCTGGCCACACTTAGCTTTGCATTCTGTAAGCTGGGCAAGCTCTCTCACCATCTTGAGTCTCCCCTGCTTGTACAACCTGGAGTGGCTGATGTTTTAGCTGAGATGTCTCCAAATGTATTGAGAGTGTGGAAAGTGACTATGGTACTGACATGTTTATATGTGGAGGACCTAAATTTATGCTTTCAAGACTTCACAATTCTTAAGCACTCTGCTGTAGGGATGCAGCTGTGGGTATCAAGTAGACGATGGGAACTTGAGTTCACAGGCTTGATGCAATGATCTCCCAAGACTGATCACTGCTAACCTCAAGGTTACCAAACTCCAGGGTCAGTCTCAGTTGCTGAGATCTGCTCCCCACAGCTAAATAGACTGCACTTCACATCTGAGCTGAGCTTTCTGCTGCCTATACCTTTTGACTTGTCAGCCTCTGGCCTCTCCCCTCTCTACAACTACCTCCCAAGGCTCTTACCCAGGCCTGCAGCAAATTAAATTCAGGCTCTATCTTGGTTTTTTCTTTCTCCTCCCCCTTCTCAGACCCCCCCCCCCAATAATAAGTAGGTTCTCTGCTGAGATGGTTCGCAACCCCTGCCTCCTGATTCATACAGAGTGACAAAATGGGATTCCTTCCCACTGTTGACTCCTTCTCAGGAGGAATCACTGCCTCACCAAAACCCACAACTGGTGTTGAGCCTTGTGAGGGCTGTGGACTTGTCCTGGGAGGAGGACTGTCAGTGTTCAGTCCCCAGGCCACCTAGCTTACCTTTGGGAGGAGCCTTCCCCTCCCAAACCACAGCCCTGACCTATGTTCAGCTTGGATTCTTTCCTGTGATTTCCACCCTATTCGCCACACTTTTCGGGCATCCAACACTATCTTTGTGAATTTCTTACTTGGCTTCTTCACTGGGTTACTTGGAGGCAGCTGCTAGTCCACCATCTTGCCCAGAAGTCTCTGCTTTTTAATTCCTTTTAATATCACTCTCTTTCTCATCCCACACTGCTTTATGAATCTCTCCTGTCCTTGCATAAAAATTAAAGTATTGTTTTTTGCTATTTTTCTTCTCTAGGTGTATGATATTCATTAATAGTCATATATTCTTATGTCTAGTTTTTTTCAAATAGCTCTTTTACATGTCTTTGCGCCCCAGGAAAGCAAAATATTTTGAATTTGCACATTTTCTAAGAGGAATGTCACAGAAGGAAAAAGTCTCTACAAGTTTGATGTGGTTCCTTCCACATTGCCTTTTTTGAGATTAGGTCTCACTGTGTAACCCTGGTTGACCTGGAACTTGTTATATAGACCAGGCTAGCCTCAAACTCACAGAGATCTGCCTGCCTCTGCTTCTCAAGTGCTGCGATTAAAGCCTGCTCACCACGACTGACATAAATTTATTTTATTTTTTACATGGGTGCTGGGGATTTGAACTCAATCTCTTGAGTTTGCAAAGTAAGGGCTCTTACCCAGAGTCATTTGCCCAGTCCACACTGCTTTTCTGATGACAGTTGTCTTAGTACTTTTATTTCTTTTTTTTCAAAAAGGGACATATCTGAACACAGTTTTGTCTCCCATTATGTGACATTTTAGCACCAAGTCTTACTTTGAAATGATAGACATGCTAATAAAAAGATACTCAACTCTGGGTCCTGCAGTGCCTGACTGGACAGGGACAAGTATACCCTCATCAAAGAAGCTTAGAATTTTAGAACTTGTTAAATGGAAAATAAATGTCTGTGAGATGTTTAACCCTAAGTAATACATCTTCAATGCAATCTCTTAACTCTCACCAGAGAAGTTTCCTTATGCAGCAGATGGTGATTAACACAGAGACCCACAATTAGCCAGTGTGCAGAGAACAAGAGACCGCAGAGTGTTTATCCCTGAACAGGACACCTATTTCAAACCTCTGCCTCCCAAGGCTCAAGGATCATTGTGGAAGAAGAGGTAGAAAGTAAGAGCCAGAGGGGGTGGATGACCACAACAAAACAGAGTCTTCCAGACAGCTGGTCAGTTACTCATATAAACTCACAGCAATGGTGACAGCATGTAGAAGTCCCATGCAAGATCAAACCAGACAAAATCCCAGCATGGGGAAATGGGTAAAAATTTCCAACCCAACCTAAGGAACTTTTGGCTATTGATGGCTGCTGGGAGGGGGAGAGACAGTGTCTTCCAGGGTTGAGACTTTTGGTGGGCCCAGTGGATGGACCACACTGAAAAACATTGGGAAATATAACTCCTACTGCATAGGCCATATTATATATGTGAAAGAGTTCATTAAATTGGGGTGGAGGAAGTGGGGCAAAGGGAGTGGATCTAAATGCCATCTAACTATATTGTATGCAAATCATGTAAAAAATGCAACAAAATAACTTAAAGTAGAGCTAGGATGAATCTCTCTCTCTCTCATCTATCCTCTATCTATATCTATCTAGCTAGCTAGCTTCTATCTATCTATCTATCTATCTATCTATCTATCTATCCATCTATCTAATCTATCATCTATCATCTATCATCTATCTATCTATCATCTATCTATATATCTATCTATCATCATCATCATCATCATCATCATCTATCTATCCTTAGCTTAGGTGATTGAATTCATTTCTGTTACGGAACATTGAATGAAGGCGTTTATTTATTTATTTATCTATCATTTGGGAATTGGGAATTGAACTCAGGGCCTTGTGTTTGCCAACAAGCATTCTGTCAACTGAACTATATCCACAGCTCCAGCTTTTATATTTAAAACAGCTTCTAAATACGTTGGTATGTGTAAGGGCAGCATATGGATGTACTTGATGGTTTAAAATTGTTCAGGGTAGTAGACTGAATTATGAAGACTGCCCCTCTACAGACTGTTTAAGAAAGGGAGGGGAACCAGGGAGACAAGAGAGGGGAACAAGGGTTGAATGTGATCCAAGTAATGTCATCTACATGTATGAAAATGCTATAAAAAAACCATTATTGAGCTGTTTTTTTTAAAGCCCATAAAGGCAGCTGTGCATGGTGGCACATGCCTTTGATCCCAACACTTGGGAGGCAGAGGCAGGCAAATCTCTGTGAGTTCAAGGCCAGCCTGGTCTACATAGGAGTTCCAAGTCAGCTGGGAGTACAGGGAGACCCTGTCTCAAAAAGACCAAAAAAAAAAAAAAAAAAAAAAAGTAAGTGAAGGTGGAGCATGATGGCGTATGCCTTTAATCTTAGCACTCAAGAGGCAGAGAGGTAGGCAGACCTCTGTGAGTTGGAGGCCAGCCTGGTTTACATGGTGAACTCCAGGCCAGTCAGGACTACATAGTGAGACCCTGTTTCAAAAACAAAAGGTAAGAACTAGTGGTCCCTCCTATGATCTTAGCTCTCAGTATGCTGGGTCAGGAGGATTGCCAGAGGTTAGAGGCCAAATTGGGCTATAGAGTTAGTCTGAAGCAGCCAGGGCTCCACAGCGAGACCCTGTCTCAGTGAACAAACTACCTACCAAAAAGCTGAGGCTGTCTCAAATCCCAGCTCTTGTGAGGCTAAGGCAAGAGAATGGTGCATTCCAGGTGGTTCTAGCTGTGCTATATGGCAAGACCCTGTTTCAAAAA